GGAAGGAGGAGGCCGCCTCTGTCGCGGGCGGCCGGGTCTCAGCTCGTTCTTCCACATCGGTGTCGCGCAGCCGTGTGGTGAAACACCCTGCAGCCGCGCGGAGCAGTGTGTGCCCGGACCACACTGCGAATAATGGCAGGGAGTGCTGCATGTTATAAATAACGTCATCCAAAATGACCTCCAAAGACCTTCCCTGTGTCGTGGCTTGCCTCTCAGGCCTCCTCCTTACGTGTTGTGTTTTTGCATAACACAAAACAAGGGGGACTTGGAAAATAGCACCCACCTCACCACAGCAGCCTGGAATCCAAAGGCTCTTACTGCAACTGGAATCCTAGAACAGTTGGCTGCAGTTGCCCTGCCTTGATAAATCTCTTCATTACATAATCTAAGATCCTTATTATGCAGGCATGTGGAGAAGAGTCATTACTAATAAATCAAATGAGATTGGAAGCAGCCCGGTAACATTAAAAAAGAAAAAAAAAAGTATGATTATTTCCTTTAAAATAGCAGCATGTACTTTACTGCTGCTGGCTGAGGTGAGCAGTTCAGAAACTTGTGGGCAAAGCTAAAAATCCTAGCGTAGCTTCCAAAAAGCTTCTTGAATCAAACTGAATAAACCATGAAAGCACAATTCATGAAAGCCTATCCTGTGGTGAAGATGCTAGGCACAGGATGCTGGGCTTTCATGAAGGGAAAAAGGGAAGATTTATGCAACCTACTAAGTCAGGTGCTGTTCTGCACACCACAGCAAGATGAGCAAGGCATAAATACTCCACAGGGTTAGAGAACCAAGCCAAAGGGAGCACACAGCACGCTGTGGGGCAAACATATGGCACACACTTCCTTGGGGAGCCATTCCTAAGCACAGGGGTGACAGTTCCAAGCAAGCCAAGAGGTGCTGGTGGCCCTTCAAAGACCAAGAACCCTTGCTGGTCGCTGCCCTTCTCCCTTACTTGCTATACCTCATCTAGTCATTTGGAACAGGTCTCAGCTGCCCAGCAGAGCAGCTCAGCTGAGGTTGGTGGTGAGACAGCAGGGAATGGAGCGTGAGACTTGAATACCAAAATATAACAGTTCTGAATGCAGACCTTACTTTACATTCTATTCTACTTGTCTTTGTTCTACAAAGAATGATACGCAGAAGCTATTACAGAACTAAAGATCAACATGTCACTTCAGAGCACTGCCTGACCATTTGTACCCCTCAAGCCTCAGGCAAGGGGATCTGGGAGATGTATTTAAAAGTTTTACAGTGTCATATCTTACGTCACTACTCACCACCATGCTCTTTTGGCAAAGTTATGTTTCTTGCCATCAAGCCACATGAAGGTCTTACCCGTTTTTTTTTTTTTTCTGTCGCTTCTCCTTGGCCAGCTCTATTAGAATAGTCATTCACAAGATGCTCACCTGACCTTTCATCAATCTAGCCACATCTACAACCTCTCCAAGAAACTCCAAGTCTTAACAATCAGCTTTGAAATGTTAAAAAGAAAGAATCTGGCCTCAAGTTAAGTTTTATGGGTTTTTTTCCCCTCTTATGCTGCTTGCAGCAGAGAAAAGATAAAACAGTCATAAGTGTGGCTTCAGCACCAAATTCTATATTTGGTTTCTGTGCTATTTTTCACAACTCTACCACAATTTGCTTCAAGCCTTTGACAGATGTCACAAGCATGTACTGTAGGTGGGACCTTTTGAGTTCTAATCTGCCTGAATTGGAAACAGTCCAAAATTGCCATTACCCATCTGTGTTTCACACAGATCTCATTCTGGATTCCTGACAAAACTCCTCCACATTCTATTAACACAACCAAGTGCTCACCATATTGCTCGATGGAGCTCTCCCTCCAGCTGGAAAATGCCAAAATAGACCCACCATCTCTTCCCATAGATGTCCTTCATTGTGAAGCTCCTGGGAGAAGAAGCAGCAGAAGATAATAAATCTTATTTTCTCTACTGGTTTGTCATAGTAACTCTGGATTCATCAAGTTCTCACTAAGAGGGAAAAATCTCTTAACTTGGACATATATGGAATGGAATCTGCTCTCTAATGGGACAGACAGGCACCATTGGATCATCCTACTATTCCTCAGAAAGGCCTTCCCAAAGATCTGTCCTTCCTCATGCTGTCTATGAAATAACGTAACTCGTACACAGGTCACTAGGGTTTAAGCTTGCTGCTTGCAAGTTGGAGTTTTCCATAATTAAAAGAACTAGATCCTATAGATTTTATCAAAGGCCTTTTTGTTAAAGTAAGTTTTTGCAAGCTGGCCGTCTCTCTCAAATGTTGTAGCAGACCAAGAGTAACCATTGTCAAGACGACCTTGATTTGACTCATCCCATAACATCTACCACGATCCAGTCTAATCGCTCACAGTAGAGCAGGTGCTGTGGACAAACACCATTTTTTTAAGCTCCAAATGAGCTGAGGAAAGATCTTACTGCCTAAGGCTACTTCCCCACAGCTCTGCTACTGCACCCACTTCTCTGAGGAAACCAAGATGCTTTAGGTTGCCAGCACAGTAGATCTCTGCTATCTGTCTCCCAAGTCCTTCACTTCCCTCTAGTATGTGGATGAGGTGATGCTGATTGCCCAGACCGAGGTCCCTGTGAAGCCTTTGGTGAATATCTTGTTGTTCTACAAACTGGACAGCAAATAGCACGCAAGGTATGAAAAGCTCGACCCCTCCCCACAAATAAACTTACAATTTTAAAGAGTCACTAGCAAAAACTCCTACATTTTCTAGTAATGTCTCAATTCTAGGAGACTCCATTCAATATCTGCCTGTGACAGCTGTGTCTAGATACCCAGATATTCAAGATATTCACAGCAGATGGTGTGAGACTGCAGCACTCACAGAGCAAAGTAATAGGTGCCAGGCTGACGTCACGGCAGCAGGCAAGACACCCAGGAGGACTACAGCATTAGGTGCCAACTCAAATGTGTGTTAGATGACGCACAAAATTGTGTTAGATAAAAACGCACACCACTGATGTACCTGAGCTGCCAGGGGTGTGTACTTTTAAGTCACTGGAGAACAGCTATCTTAGATACAGCAATAAGGCAGCAGTGGTTGGCCACATGTGGGCAGACAAGACTCTTCTGGCTGATTTTAGCTACTCATCTATAGCTAAGCATCCATAGGCCTGTAGACCCCATGTTATTGATGTCTAAAACTCCAGTACAAACTGTCAGTTTGGAGCTTCTGCCATTGACTATGACTTCCTTGTGCTTGTCCTACACTGCTCACCTTTCAGCAGGCTTGAAGTCAGTCATTTTTTTGCCTTAAAACAAACAAAAATTTTCTTAGTACCAATTCTGTAAACACTACTGATTTCTCCCCTTCTATTCATTGCATGCACCTGTGGAAAACAGACACTACTCATAAAAATATGTACAAAGTTTTGTATTTCTCAAGTCAGCTGAATGCCACCAAGCCTGTATATCATGAATCAAAAAGGTTTTCTTGACTGATCATAAGTCTCTCAGGCTGGTCATTCAGAGGCACAGTGGAGGATATCACAGCAGACCCGTAGTCTCAGAAGTGAGACTAGAGCCAACAATTCGGTGTTTTCTCTCTGTATGCAGGGAACAGGTAAAGTTCAGTTTTATGGAGACAAGTAAGCTGTGGACTCTGCATAAGCCTGGAAAATTTAAAACACACACACAATGAAATAAAGAAGGTGCATCTCCAATTGCAGACTCTTCTTTTTGCTTCTTAACAAATATTTGCTTTTCAACTGGTTTGACATTAGCAACTTACAGTGTTAACAGCTGATCATCTGAATGTCTTATGACCCTGCAGTAGACTATCAAGAGGCTGTGTTAGACAGAATTCACATTGTGAGGTACGACTTTTTCCATTATGAAACTATAAAAATATACACCCAGAGTCTGAATCAAGATCAATAATTTAAACTGGTGATAAGAATGGAATCAACTGTTGTCTAAGAAGACCTGTCCCAGTACTGCAAGTTTGGAGTTAAAAGATTGACTGGGGCAACTGAGGAGGGAATGTGTGTTCTTCTTAGAGTTTCTTTTCTCTCCGGCACTCTCTGAAGAGGTATCTGCAGAGTCTTGCGTGCTTTCCCCTTCACCATGGTCTGAAGCTCTTTTTAAAATAAATTTCTTGTTTCTCTTCAAGGAGTAAAATTCTCTCATCAAGTCTTCTACCTCCCATTGCTCTTCTTTCCGCTTCCTACAGCAATGCAGTGCAGCAGGGTCAATGGGATGAGCTTCAGTGTTGAAGATGTATCCTCCAGCATTCAGGATGCATTCCCCATATGGTGTGAGCACCACATCAAAGTCTGACCCATCATTGTGAATGAAGTTGTCTGGGTCAAACAGCAGATACAAATATTTCACTGTTTCAGCTAAAAAGAAGGATTCCATGCGATTATCCAGTCTGTGATCTCTCAAGTCTTTGATCTGCAAGAGAAGAAATCCAGTGGATTACTTAGATGCTTTGCACTAGCACAGACTAATGACAAGGAACAGGAAACCAGCAATGAGGAGAAATGCATTTCCTACGTGGGTTAGGAGTGGAAGAGCGAGTAATCTTCCCAAAATTTCTCCACCTAAAATAAAATTCCTAGGCTCTTATCCATTTCCTCAATCACATGGCCTAACTCCCAATATTCATAAGCATTTTTTTTTGTGTAACAGCTTGATAGCATATTCAAAATCTTGTATTAGCAGATTTGTGGGAAATCATCCTCTGCAATTCTCTTCTGTTTGATCAGATTTTCAAGGCATAAAGGGAATTGCAAAACTGACAGTCGGAAAACACCTCCACTTTTAAAGAGCATGTGAGCCTTGCTGCCAGCTTGGAATATCTCATATCTTCCAAAACACTAAAGGCTGGAGAAGCCTCTGATGCTTTCCCATGTCTTGGGCTGAGGTACATCTGCTAATAACAGAATTTGACCTAGTTTTCAGGCCTAGAGAAAAGTCACTCCCAGAAACACGACCAGCATTACCAGATCAGATCTACAGAAACACAAAAGGTGTTTGAGACAGAAGTTCATGTTTCAACCTACAGTATAGATCAACTCAATAGCAAAACGTCATTCCGGCTTTCTAATCAAATCTTCATCAGCCTAACTCAGTTAAAGCTGATTTTTTGGCAGTCACACTTACTGTTGCAAATCCACAGTCCACCTTGCTGATTTTCTCTATGGACTCCACTGCATCTCTTCCCAGCTCTAGGAGCGTGGGGTCTCGTGTAGCACGATACAGGTACATTGCGCTCTCAATCAGCTCTGCAAAAAATGCAGTTGCAAGCATAAAAATCAAGAAAAATGTTTCTTGCAGCAATTTAAAAATATTATTTTAAGATGGCCAGTTAAGTGGATTGTTTTGTACTTCCTCTGTAAGAGGAAGTACACAGATACCTTCTTTTACTGAGAACTTGCTACAAAGGAAACTCTAACTGGAGACCATGAACTCAGATAAGACTGAAAAATAGTCCATTTGCACATTCAGGGAGGAGAAGGGAAGACTGGGGAAGGGATTTAAAAAATAATAATAATAAAAAAGTGCTTCCAAACAGAATTACGTACAAAAGATTTAAAAATGATATTTCAGAGTTTGAATAGTACCGTAGAAAACTGAAACAGGGGTATCTAATACACTGCAAAAACTGGCATGATATTACTCTACATGGATAACACATGCACTATATTTTCCTTACTCACTAAAGATTTTTTTTGATTTTTTGATTACGTAATACATTTTAAAGATAAAATTGTTGAGAATTTGATAGAAGTGTCCAATGTGGATGTCACCTGAAGGATGTGCACCTTTCAAATTGAAAGGTGCACAACTTACACTCATTTGCAAATATAATCAGGTGCGAAATAAATAAAACTGTCAGAGCTGTGAATAATGGGGAGAAGATAAATCATTACGTTGTGGTATCACAGACAACACACAATCCCTCCACCTGATGAACTTCAGTAGCGTTACTATAACTAGTTTATCTGAGGAACTTCAACAGATCTGGAGTAGTCTACTCATACTCACTTGTACTTCCTAAATTTAAAGGATACAACCAGTCACATTAATACATTCCATTCACTTAGATTGTCTAACACAGGATGTATTGAATTCAAACACTTAACAATCTACACTGTAAACTCAGTTCATCAACAGGGCCCCTTTAAAACAGTAACACTATAGATTGGATCCTTTATAAGGTAGCCCTGCCTTTTGGGAATGGCATATACCAAAACACATGAGTTTTGAGCATGGAAATCACAAATAAGATGCACACAAGAACCAAGTCAAAGCAAAGCCTGGGAAGGACCTTTGGAGAGTGGGTATTGTCAACATTTGATCTTATTACCAGAAAAAAAGCAGAACTCCACATACTTCTTATTTTATTCCTGCTTACCAGGCCGGAGTGGATATCCCTCTCTCTTCTCCACTGTATAGCCCTGGGGAATGTTGTAGAACTCGGGCAGGCCACCAAACTGCTTCCAAACTGTGTAATAGTTGAGGAAGGTTCGCATGGCATTATCTAAATCTCCAATTAGGCTCTGAGAGAAGGGCAACAATCAGCAAAGCAACTTTCAGATGGAGAACAAACAGCACAGGAATTGGCTAAATAGCACTGCCACAGCCAAAGCAAAAGATGCGGACAGAAGTGGGTTGTTCAGCAAGTCCAAATTGCTTAACTATTATTTAGACAGGATACCTTAAGAATAGCTAGGAGTCAAGAAGTGCTAGATGCTGTTGGGTCACATTCTGCATGCCTGAAATAATATGAAATCTTTTTGCTATTTAGTTTGTTACAACGAAATTGCTCTCCCATTATGTTTACCATGAGACTTTTTTTCTTGAACACAGATTAAATCAACATCTGCTCTTCCACAGGCTTAGGCTGACCAGAGGAAGTGAGAGTTATATTTGTAAGTGTGCTAGAGATGAACTCAAGACAGGTGAAGAAAATTGCTGTATGCTACTGGTATGACAGCTCTTACCTGTAGGCCTGGCCAGTAAGCCTCCAGGGACTGGAAAACAGGCATGGACACTGTTCCTTTGTACATCTGAACCCAGAGGTACCAGTCATCAAACTTTGTGTAATTTTTGATAGCTTTGTTATATTCTATGAAGAAACACAGGAGAGTAGGTAATCCAGTATCTTATCCTCCTGCAGTTCCAAAGGAAAAATTTTTTACGGGATTGTTCTTGGGACCCAGTGCACAGAAAATGAACTACTCACCTAGGAACATGGACATCAGCTCCTTGTCCTGCAGGAGAATGGCTCCTTTAACAAGGTATTCAAAGTAGGAGTCCACTCCGGCCCCAATGCCAGCATCTTGAGCTACCCATTTGGCAGTTAGCACATCAATGTGGTTACCAACCTGGAAAACGTCGGGGAAGGAAAGAAGAGGGAATCAAAGTAGAAACAAAGATCATTTATTAAATATTTAAAAATTAAACAACCCGTAGCGTAGCTTCAGAAGAATACATTCATGTATTCATAACAAATACCATTGTCTTCACTATAATAAAATATTTATCAACATCAGAGTAGTACAAAGCAGATTTTATGCTTGCAATAGAAATGCTACACTGATGCAGCATTGTGTTTAGGACTTCCACATGCTGCAATTCCACAAACAGAACTTGGTTGGATTTCTTATCACCCAAGAAAGGGTAAGAGAGAATAGCAATTAAATTATAAATGATTTATTTATTTATTTATTTAAATATTAATTCTTCAGATATAAGGAAAAAGGAAAGAGTTTTGCAGAGATTTAGATTTTCACTATAGCTTTTTAAAAACATGCCATAAAATTGCTTTTATAATCTAGCCATGTAGGAACTGGGCATTTAAACATAAGATGCTTCTAATCTTCTGCATGAAACAGCAGTGTCAATATGAAATGCACACAGTAGTGCCATTTTATTTCATGTAAGCATCCTCCAAACTTAGGTCAAGAATCCAAATGGCTTCTGATATGTGAAAACAAACAAAAAGGAAAACCTTCCCTAGATTAGGTCAAACTTCTGCATTAAAAACAGTATTTCAATAAGGGAGAGATGAAAAGATGCCTCTGGCCAGGCAGCAAGTCAAAAAGAATGCAGAGCAACAGATAGTGCTGCCTATGGATCGCGACTTGAAGAGGAATAAGGGTCAAAACAAAATGTCATTATGCTACTGTAAAAATACACATCTTAAATAATACGTATCTGGTCCTAATCTCCATCTTACAGGAAGACAGAGCAGGACAAAGAGGTACAGATACAAAAAAAAGGATGTCAAGAAGGCCAGAGGCAAAGAATTGCTATTCTTTTATTTAAACAAATATTTTACAGCTAAGATTCATTTAATACTGGAAATAGACCCAGCTGATGGAGAATATAATAAATAATTATGGCCGGCTTGGCGAAGATGAAGAACAGTTACAAATACATCTTTGCTGTTTCACATGGGCAACACTTGTAGTTTATGATCAAAAAGCAACTAGAAAAATTAAATGAAGAAAAAATGATCAGAACATAATAGAGAAATAGAAAATAGAGACACCATTTCTTGCCCTAGGTAGCCCCAGATGTCAAAGCTGTAGATGGGGGGAATATCCTGTGCTCTTATTGTATTCTTGTTCGATTCTTTAGGTCGCTGTCAGGTCAGACGTTAGACAAATCTTTTATTTAATCCCATGCACACATCTGCTAGTGGACATTTCAGTGGCATAATGTTGGACTGTGGCACTAGGCAGAGATGTGGATGCTACAGGGGTTCAGCAAGGAACTGCCTCACTCACCAGCCCAATATCCGAACGATTTTTCCACAGTGCCTTCAGGGCCTTCCTGGCAACATCCTCAAACACCGGATCACCAGTTAGGTGGCTTAAAGTGGCAAATTCCACTATAAATGTACCAATTCCAGCAGTACAGGTAACTGGGGTCTCGCCAGGGTTTACTCCATGTAGCAAGTTCACTGTTCCATAAGGCATCCCAGTTGGGGTCTGGAAAGCTGAAACATAATATTTCTGGTTCAGCGAGAGTTTTCACCATTTGTGACAGCATTTAAGAGAGTGCTGAGCAAACCTGTGCTTCTTATTTCATCTGCACGAACAGCAGCAAGAGCTGGGCCTGGAGCAATCTCAATAATTGCAAAGAACAAAATGGAAATGTAGCACAATGCAACAAGGGGAAAGAGAAGAGGTACCACAAGTTGCACACAGAGCACTGGAGAGCTACTGCAGATGCCTCACGTACCCCCAAACAGCAGATTGCATCTCACAGAATCACAGAATGGTTGAGGTTGGAAGGGAGCTCTAGAGATCTAGTCCAATCCCCCTGCTTTGTTTGCTGCACAAGCTGAGCAGTCAAGGAACTAGACACACCGACACACACCTATTGGCAATGTACAAACACTGGGTACATAGTTCTGAAATGTAGCCCAGTGCATGCACTGAGCAATGAAAATAAAATGTGTCACAGCACACGTGCTAGTAGCAGCTGAATTTTTATATTTATTTATGTAAGTCCAACACAAGCAGCTAACATACTAACATGCTTTGCACATGATGCTTTGCAAGTGTATTTACAACTGGTATCATGCACTTACCCAGTGCTTTCCTGAACAGTGAATTCTCTCCGAGTCCAGGGAAGGTGAGACTGCTTTATGAATTTAAATATTCAGCCCTGTCATCTTTATCAAGCCCACATGTAACACAAAGCAGCCAAACTCTCACCCGGCAGGAGCTTGCGAGCGGCTTCCTCTGCCATCCGGAGGAGAGGTCCAGCGCAGGGCCATCCCACTTCTACTTCAACACCAGCCTTCTTCGACAGCAAGTGAGCGGAGAGGAGACCGCCCACCACTGCAAGTGCACAACAAGGAGCCCGTTAAACGACACGGGGAAGGAATAAAATCCCAATAAAAACTGATATGACACAGCAGCTGGGTTCATGGGGGATAAAGGTAGCTGGCTTGTCTTTGACAACCTAACACAATATGTCATGAAAGAGCGTTTGTTTTTTATCTGTTTGCAAAGGGTAGTCAGATAGATTTCTTTCATTATAATGACAGCATCAAGTCCAACTTGCCCTGCTACCCTGCATAGAATCATAGAATCACAGAATGCTGATGGTTGGAAGAGACCTCTGGATGTCATCTAGTCCAACCCCCTGCACACACAGGGTCACCTAGAGCACGTGGCACAGGACTGCGTCCAAGAGGGTTTGAAGATCTCCAGAGAAGGAGACTCCACACCCTCTCTGGGCAGCCTGTTCCAGTGCTCTGGCACCCTCACTGTGAAGAAACTTTTCCGTAAGTTCCTATGGACCTTTTGATGCTTCAGTTTCTGGCCATTTCCTCTAGTTTTGTTGAACTGCGGACAGTCAGTCTGCAGACATCAGAGAGTTAATAGCACAACAAACCTCTAGGAGAGCAAGTGTGCTTAATTTCTTCCAGACAGTTTCAAAATATGTTTCTGTAAAGTCATATAGTACATACCTGCTTAAATACCTAGGAGAGGCATCTAGGAGTCAGGAAATTTGGCAACTGATAGAGGCAGGGAGTTACTAGACCTTTTCGCAGGTTAGTCTACTCTCACATAACAAGTATGAGTTAAAATTCCATAAACACAGAGAAATTACAGCAGTGCAGAAACCAGCTCAGCAAAATTTGACAGGAGGAGCAAACCTAACCGATTCCTAGACAAGGTCTTTTAGGTAGAAAAAAACAAAAACAAAAAACAAGTTTCACTTTAAGGCACTAAAACATGAGACTATTAATTGCTACTCCAAAACAGTACACATAAAAAGAGTTATTTTGATGGACAATAGTAGTTTCTATGTGTACCACTTCATTTGAGTAGAATAATATTTAGTCCGAAGCTTAAAACCTAACAACAGAAAAACGAAAGTGCCACGTCTTGGTCCATTTAAACAGAGAAAGGAAGCAGAAAGGTGACGTGGAAAGAGAAAAGGGAAGTTCCATTTGCTCTGGATGTCTTCTTGGTGCGCGCATGTTCCATTACAGCACATCAGAAATTCACTCTGACCGCTACTCTGCACGACGTCCGTGTACAATTCATAAACTCACATACACGGGAGCTCCAGCCAAGGCACCACGAAGAAAACCCACCTCACCTCGAATGTTAGTTTCAAAAACGGACGCGTTGACATCGATGTCAAAATCGACACCTTCCTGCAGCACGTTGACAACCCTCTGGAACTCGGAAACGTTTCCCAGGATCTGCAGCGGGAGCAGGATAACAGATAACACAGCTCAGAGCCACAGGATGATGCCACAAAGGGCGACTGACTCAGGGTAGAGGGAAATTATTGGTTTTGTTTTACGAATTCATGAGCAGATACTGGTAGAAAGGTGAGGGCCTCATGTCATTTCCAGCTGTTTTCTCCCCACGTTGCAGGGGTTGATCCCAGAGATGTCAGCAAGGGAGCTCTGGCAGCAGGTGCCAAACCAGAGGCAAAACCTCTTGGGTCAAACAGGGACCGAATCCCCCTCCACAAAGCCCAAGTGCCCCCAAGGGGAAGGTGGTGACCGGGCTCGCCCCACTCACCAGCAGCGTGTCCAGGGCGTCGATGAGCGTGAGGGAGAAGCTGCGCGGGACAGAGCGGCGGCGTGAGGGGCCGGGCTGCGGCCGGAGCCCCGCGGCCGGGTGCCACCTACCTGCCCCAGGTGTCCTGCCCGTCGCACGTGAGCGGGCGCAGCTCGTCGTAGGGGAAGGCGCTCTCCAGGTAGTGCTCGTAGGCGTGGTAGAACATGGCGCGCACCCGCTCCCTGCGGCGAGAGGCGCCGCTCAGCCCCG